TATGTGGAGATGGGAGGGGAAAAACAGCATTAAATTATCTTCCAAGAACCTTGAAGTCTCTCAGGATGACTCTTCTGAGTACTCTGAAAATATAACCATTGATCTAGTTGAGACAATTTATCCTTTGGAACAGTCTAAAAAGTTGTCTTAAATTACCTGGTACACACATTAAACATGTAAAGTTTTCATTAAAGGAGTTGACAGGTTGCTTGTAAACTGAAGTAATTTCCTTTTCCTTCAGAATTAGATTTCCTTTATGGCCTCCTTTGTCAGTAAGCGCTGTTCATTAAGAATGATTTGGCCATTTCATTCTACAACCTTATTTTTGCCTGCTTTGTGGATTTAACTGAAGGAAATCCCTTTGACTGAAACGATCAAGCTGGATCTCAATCACCAGATGATGCTTTCTCAGTCGTTTTTTTACCTTGTGTAAACCAAGCTGCTTCTTTTCCAGAACATTTAGATCGGAAGGAAACTAGGTATGAATTATTGACAATCAATTTGCAAGGAAAGAGATGTCTTTCCTCCAGTTTTCTGTTTGTTGGCTTGTTGATTTTTGAACAGTCACGTGGAAAAGCTAGTGAATGAAACCTTAAAACTTCTCACATCACAGATGCTTCAACTCTGGTTCTAGAGGGGGTTCTCTGGATATAGCGCAGTCCAGTGGCAGCTCTTCTATCAAATGCCTCTATGAGATAGGGGAATCATGCCTTGCAGTACTTGCTACTTTTGAGCCAAATTGCGAAAGCGCTGAACTAAGCACATCATTGTAACATGGGCTCAGGATTTATACCTAAGTCTTGTCTGTGAGAAAGAGAGGTGGACTGTCAAGATTAATGGCAATCAGTCAGCATAACATACTGACACACACAACCCCCAAGTTAGTCACCAAGCAGCAATCAGTGTAATGTGTGCCCCAGATACTAGAGGTACAACTTAGTGGCTTCTGTGATGGTCTCTGGATGTGTTCTTGCTGCTGTGAGACGGTCATTAGACGTGAGAGGGCATGCTTGTTCAAGAGAAACACTGATACTGTGAGGAGATTATGTGTTCATCTACTGTCTGGTCCTGCAGAGATGGGTTGTTGTGAATGTCCAGCCCTTCAGGCTGTTCTGGGGGAAGTTTCTAGGAAGATTGATGCTGTGAGTTTGTAGAAAGAGTGTGTCTGGTGAGTGGAAAGCTCAGACATAAATTTCCAGAAGCTTGCAGGCAATAGTAGGTGTCTAAGATGGCAGCCTGTCTTCTCCAGTCAGTGCCAAGGACAAACTTAGCATTGGTATGGGGTAAGTTGAGTAGAGAGGTTTGTGCTTTCCATAGTTGCAAACAATCCACTGAAATGTGGTCAGTGGGAAGGTTGCTGTGGAGTTTGGCCCTGATAAACTCCTCTTTCTGACATTGACAACTTCTCTCTTTTCATGTTGTCCCCTTGTTATATAGCCCAAGTGTTCAGACCTGTCCTCCTTCCTGAAAGGAAGAGACTTTATTTGCATAGGCAAAAGTTGTCATGGCAAGAGATAGAAGGAAGAATAAAGGGGGTAAGTGTTGGAAAGGCAAAGCAGTCAGAATGTGATATGACAGAGGTGAGGTCAAGTAAGCTAAACAAAAAGCTAGACTAAAACAGCTTGATGAAAAAGACATAATTTAATGTTATGGTGATACTGACCGTAGAAATACAAGACACATTAGATGGATACAAAATACAGGGAATAAGGTCCTATGTGATTAAATGAAAAAAAAAAGTATTTTTTTTCCTACTGTCTTTCTCTTCATGTCTTCAGCAAATTTACTTGTCGTAGTCATAATGCAGAACTCGGGATTCTCTTACCATACAAGAGATTATCAGATAAAAAGGACATGATTTAAAGTAAATGTGCCCTCTGAAATACTCATTTCTCAGTAAGAGTAGCAAAGCATAATGTAATTAAAACAACTGTCTGCAGTGTTTATGTACAATCACGTTGAGTAAAGAATACCTTTCATTTCATTGTAAGGTCAGACACATGGGGAGGAAGGGTTGACACTGTCTCTCAGACAGCAGTAATCAAGGGCTGGCAACTCAGCGTTGGAAATTGAACAGATGAGAAGTTCTTGGCAGCGATTCCCAAATGCTCAGGAGACTCAATGCGTATCATCAGCTTTGGTGTTTTGGCCAGCTAGTTAAATAGTGTTGGCTATAAACGTTACAAGGCAAGTGATCACCCCCTTATGTGCTGGGCCTGAGGCATACGCTTCCTGCCTTCTGTCTCGGGAGCAAGGGGAGCCTCTAAACCAAGGAGCTCTTTGATGGTACCCTGTGAATAACTTTTCAGATCCTAGCAAAAAAGAGGAATTTGCGTTTGTTTGCATGTTAGCCACAACAGTGAGTACCAGAGAAGGGAGACAAGGGTTTACACAGGATTTTGCAACTAAGCATAAATGACAGCACCCTAAGTCTACTGAATTTGAACCTCCTTTGCATTGTTTAGCCAAGAATGAGTGCTGCTTCATCTGTTCAGAGATCAGACTGAAAAGAAGATCCGCATACATGCAACTCCCTAAAATACAGTATTTATTTATTTTTTTGCCCATTCATTTTATGGGCAAAACTACTCATAGAGGCAGTTTCCTCAGTGTGAGTGCCTGAATATAGGAAACTAAATCTATATGTAAGCAACAAAAAAAAAAAACCAGATCTGTACAGATACTTGAATGAATGCATGAAACTGGAACTGCACACATGCATAAGCGATAGCAGGACTATATTTGCTTGCAAATCTGGTTTAGTGTTGAAAAATCAAGGTGATATGGTAGTGATAGTTAATATAGCAGCATCGTATGGTTAGTTTAGCAGTTATACTACACCCGTCTGTTTGAAATTGCAGTAATTTCTTGCTTTCTAATGGCCAGGGAATTTGATCCCATAAGCAGTGATGGGGCTTACATGTTTGAATTAAGCTATGTGGTTTTGCATGCTTCTTTGGCATGATACCGCAGAGATTACGACTTCAGGCTGGCTGTAAAACCCCATGTAGCAAAGTAGTCTGGCACAACTTCTCAGCAGGCCTGAGAAAGCAGAAGTGAAGCCAGCGTGACATCTCTGTGAGGGTGAAAAGTTAAGCCCAGTTTGTTGGGACCCCAGACTTTAACATTAGGAGGTACCAATAGCTGAATATGTTTTCAGTGGGCAAGGTTAGTTTTCAGTCGCTCCCCTCTTCTCCATTCCTGGTAGTTAATAATAATTAGTCCTAATTAATAGTAGATAAATATATAAAATGTAAATTAAAATTGATTAGCAGCAATAAGTAGTCATTGTCAAGAAGGCAGAAGCAGGAAGACGGAAGGTATTTTTAAACATCCAACTTGTCACTGGGATTGTCTGCTTCATTTTTTCCCCACTATTCCTTTGAGGACATTTCCTTCATTACATTTCCTCAGCCGTTTAAACCAAGACCCAATGAAACCAGGAGGAGTATGCTACTTGCCGTTTGGGCACGATCCATCAACGTTCAGGTGTTACAGTTGTTTGGCCTTCCAGTTTGTCATTTCCAAGGTGTGACAGCACGTTTCTTACTTAGACTGGTGCAGTCTAGTGAGCACACTCTGAATGCAGTCAAGGAAGTCTTAATCCCTCCAAGCAGTCGGGTGGCAGTCAGGAGTTCGTCTTTCAAATAGGGAAGTAGCCGATTCCCACTGGCAGACCAACTAAGTAACTCTTCAGAGGGATTTAGCTGCACATGGCCACCATCTGAAAACAAATGCACATGTGGAGCACAGAATTCAACGTTGCTTTTTACCATCAAAGTAAGTTTTAGAAGACTTCCTCAAATCCATAGCAACATACCTATTAGATTTGTAGGAATGGATGGAGTGGAGCTCAGCTTTGCTGGGCCAGTTTGCAAGATTTAATAAGAGTAGGATCTTAACTGCAAGGATGCATTCAAAGCAAGGCCCCAGCCAGGTGAGTGTAGGCGGGCTGCCTCATCCAGGGAGTGGAAGTGTGGCAAAGGCATTTGCTGCCCACCTGAGACAACACCTTTGGGAGAAGCATCTTGCTCCTCTTGAAGTAGATCTCTGGGATGGATGTAGTCTCTGTAGTAAGAAAGGAGATTATCTTCAATTCTTTAATTGTTTAGTTGCACCTGCTGGACACAGCTAAAATGAGTGCTTAGATCACATCTGAGAAAGAAATTGCATCTGAGGAAGCAAAAATAGGAAACATAGCGCAGGCGATGAGTTAGGAGACTGAGGCAACACATGTGAAGCAATAAAATATTCATGTGACGAGAAATTTTCAGAATGATTAGGGAACCTCTGAGGGGCTGAGCTTCTGTTTTAAGATACATGGTGAAGATGAAAGAATAAAGGAAAATTAACAGAGCAGAAAAAGCTTTTGCCCTCTGTGTAGCTGTTAATTTCTGTCACACCCACTTTGATATCGGGGGGGGTTACCATTTCCTACTGTTTTTTAGCTGCTGGATTTGAGTGGGATGAGTCTAAGTCAGATAAATTGTTTTTTCAGCCAACTTCAGCACAGCATCAGATAAATATTTCAAAGTGTGTGATTTGCACCAACACCAAGGAAATGAGTCTAGGATTGTGGAGAGACAGACAGTAACCTGTGATATGTATTTATTTGAACTAGAGCCAAGCAATTCCCCTTAGTTAACTGTGTCTCAACAGTTTTCTCCTGATAAAATAATTAATATGCAGATAGATGGCTGTTGCCCAGCCATCCTTCATTCTTACTGGTTGGTTTGTATTGTTTATGGCATTGCTTCAAAAGCAGTCCTGTAATATCCTTGGCAAATTGATCTCTCTTTCCCCTCGACTAACGGTCTCTTGTAGCAGGTTCTCTTTCCTTTGCTGTGTATGGCCATAACGTGCCTGCACCTTAAGGCTCCCACAGAATCAGAGAGTGGTTGAGGTTGGAAGGGACCTTACTGTGACCCAGAATAAGATTTCAAACAAAAACGCAGGAAGTGTTAACACAGGTTTTCTTTTCCTTTCCTTGTCACCCGTAGGTAATGCAGGTAGTGAAAGAACAGATAATGAGAGCGCTCACTACCAAGCCTAGCTCTCTGGACCAGTTCAAGAGCAAACTTCAGAATCTCAGTTACACAGAAATACTGAAAATACGCCAGTCTGAAAGAATGAACCAGGAAGATTTCCAGTCTCGTCCGATTCTGTAAGTACTGTCTTCTCTACCCACTCGTTTTTTCATGGAAGGATTAACAAATGTGAATGACATTTGTGAGCTCTTCTTGGGGAACCCAAGGAGGAAAGCTATCCAGGGAGCCATGCTCAAAAGCCGTAGTGTGGCATCTGCTTGAAGTGCATTATGTTTTCTTCTGCTGGGAATCATAACTTTTTCTTCGAGTAGAGTTAAACCAGATTCAGCAAATCCCTACAGGGTCTCACATGGCTTATTTGTATGAAACAATGCTTTGACATTTCCTGGCTTTGCATGATTGTAAGCCTGGTTTAGGTGCTGGTAATGGCTTTTCTTAAAAAAACAGAACAAACACTGCAACTTTGTCTTCTGTCCAGGGGCCTTTAAAAATTCTAAATGTCACTTCTCTGAGCAAGACGGGGGAAGCCCAGAAGAGGAGCCACTCCACACTGGCTCCACAAGAGAGTGGTGTTGTGTGTGACTGTCTTTGTATGTGGCATTATCTTCGGTGTTAATGACAAGCAGTCACTTATTTGTAAACGATAACATTCTGGGAGCTGGCCAATGGGGTTCTCATTTCCTTGTTGTTTACTGCAAAGTATCAGATGCTAATATCACCACCATAGCTCCTTCCCCGTTTCTCAGAATACACTTTGTTCTGTTATATGAAAAAATGGAGGCCGTACTTGGCTCTGGACCAAGTCTGGGCTTGTGGCTAAACTGATGACACAGGACACATGCAGACTCCATGGTACACAAATGATGTGCTGAGAATAGCAAGAACCTTTTGAGAGAACAGAGAAATGATGAGGACTCCAGAAGCATCGGCTGAAATGTCATGAAATCCTAACCATGTTTTAAGTCGAATGACTCGTGATTTTCCAAATCTCCTTTTCAAGGCAAAGGTATAGAGAAGGGTTTGGACCACAGCATTTCAGGATTCAGAAGCAGATTGTTCATTTTGATTTGTTTCTAAAAGATAGAGGTATCTAAGTACAAGCTCTGGGGACACATTCCTCCAGGGGCAGCAGGGCAACAGTGGAATTACACAAGTAGAATTACACGCTTAAATTTTAATCATACCAATGTGGATCAAAGGGGGAATGCTTCTTTTATGTTTTCAGTGTATTAGAAGATAGGACCTAATGCTCAATTAGAACTGATGTCACTCATAGTAATGCATCAGTTAAAAAGCTGCAAATGGTTCCAGTCAGTTTTGCATCATTACACTGCTCAGAAATCCCCTGCAACATCTAGTGGTTCAAAGACACTCAGTACTGCTAAGCTTGTCACCAAAGCTTCTCTTTTCCCTGTTTTCCCTGTGAGTCAACTGTTTAAGTGTGATACAAGTCAACTATTTATATTCTCTTGCACCATAGCCTGGTGCTGCAAAACCTGCCAGTGCCCTCTACAAGCTCTTTATTTCCAGAGTCGCTCTGGCTAGTTGCTGCCACAGTGCAGAGCCTCCTTCCCCATCATGGAATGAGCAGAACAGCCAACACAAATAGTTAAAAGCAACTGAAGTGTTACCAGAGACTCATTTCAGATGCAGGACAAAGGCTAAGCCTAAAGGCTATAAAGGCTAAGTAAATCGATAAGGTGTTTAAGCAATCAGAACTGCATTTGCAGAGATTTAACTCCATGTATTTGCATTTTGATTGCATCCATGATCACTTATTCTTGACTGTGAAAAGAAACAGTTCTTTCATTTTCCCCTTTGATTTGATTCCCTGTACTGAACTCTTCTCAAATTGCATAGATGGCACAATTGGTAGAAGTACGGAATCATGGCCTCATTGTAGGG